TGTCCAGCAAAAGGAAGATAGGTCTTTTGGGAGATTCCCGTTCCTTCCACGTGTAGAACAGGTCAAGCATGACGAGCGCAAAGATTCCGAAGAGTGAGCCAGAAGCACCCCTACAATCGAGTACCACCCGTTAGTATGAACGTTTCGGACGACATCCGGGGGTGGGGAGCGGAGTGAACTTACACCGATGGCTGACCAACTGCGCCGAGATTGCCTCCGAGCACGAAACCAAAGATTCCGGAGCAGAAATACACGATGATGAACCGCACCACTCCAATCTCCAGCTCCATCTCTCCACCTAGCGTAACCTGCATAAACATGTTGAAAGCGAGATGGATCAAACCGGCGTGGTAAAACATCGGGATAATGAACCGGTACCACTGATCGGGCTTGCTATCTGCCGGCCCTTTTCCGCCCATGGGCTCCGGAATATCCCTTCCATTGAACCCACACCACTGAGCAAGCGTGCAGTTGAGCAAGTCATCGGTCCTGGAGGGACACGGGAACACCTGGGTCGGGTCGGCGTTCATGAACTTGGGCGCAAGGCGCATGCACGGTACGAAGCGCGCGCCCCATGTTGATCATGACATCCGTCGACGGGCCGATCTGGGATTGAAAGTACGGTTTCGTCGAGATTGGCGATCCCTGCAATGCCTGGTTGCGCCCCAACTCGACGCAGAAAACGATCGTGTGGACTAGCGTCATGAAGTACACGAACCACGGCCGCGATCTCCACGACTTCTTCCGCTTTTCTCCGTCCGTAGGCGGTGGTGGGTACGGGGGGTACTGGGAGCCCCCGTTCTCGACGTGCGACATGGGCGGCTGCTGGAACTGTGTGCTGGGCGGCTGATTCTTGTGGCCGGTCTCGTGAAGCGGGATGTTGTCCGAGAACGGGTCGGAATTGTACTTTGTGGGACTGTCACCGGGACGGTTACCATAAGATGCGGTCGTATCCGGTATCGGCGGAGTATCTCGAGTAGTGGTTGGGAGCATACGAGAGGTCATCGTTGTATCCGGCGTCGACGTGTGTCGGAGGGAACGTATTCTGGTGCGTGGGAGGGAAGGAGCTCTGGTGGGGCGGCGGGAGCGGCTTGTTGGTATCGCCCACCGGCGAGTCTACGGGGGAGGTGGGAGCGTTGAGCTTGTTCTGGTCAGCTGGGGTGCCGGCGCCGTAGTAGCTGGCGGCAGCCATTGTTCTAGATGGAGGGGCGGGGCCTTCCGGGGACGGGTCGAGGCGGGGGCGGAAGGTACCCGATCGGTTCGGAGCGATGTCTCAGGCGAAGTTGTATCGGTTTAAATCACGAAGGTGTTGGTGGGGGGTACGGTGGAGTGGTGGTCGTCGTAATAGAATGGGTCGAGTGGTAGTGGTGTGCGGATGACCTTTCAGGGATGCGCAACAAGTGGAAGGTGGGTTTGTGCGTCTGCGCAGTTCGTGAGGATCCCTCGGAAGGATGAATGGGGAGGAGGTATCGAGAAAGAGGGAGGGAGAGGGAGAGGGAGAGGGAGATGGACGGGAGAGGGAGAGAGAGAGAGAGGGGGAAGGAAATGAGTGGTGCCCAGCTGGTTGTTTTGGTTGTCCGTGTCACGCTCAGTTTTGGAATGCTTTGAAGCTATGGCAGTACTCGTACGCCCGAACCAGGGCCAATCTAACTATTCCGGCCTTGGTCTACGGCGGACTGGCGACTGACGCAAGCAATAGCAGGTCGGCCGGCCATGTTACGTGCCACGGGTTCTCTGCTCCACGTAACTCGAGGGGGCTGATGGAGAGAAATGATCATCCCCATGGCATGGTGTTCTATTCTTGGTGGTGAAAGTACTCTATGTACTCGCTGAGTGACGAGTCGTTGAGACTTGAGTCGCTCATTCAATGATGTGGCCTGCGGAACGCCACAGCCTCATCAGCCACACACCAATCTGATCATCTGGGTCGGCAGCAACCCGCCTTAGCTACTCCAATTTTCCACGTACCCCAAGAGATTTTGACAGCTGTTTTGACATCTGCTCTGACATCTGTCTATTCTCTTTGGTTCGTCTGTCTCGTCAATTCTCTTTGTCGCGACGAAAATCGGTATGTGAGGTGTGGATGTGTGGCTGGTGAATAGCGTTGGCCACATTGAATGAGGGCTGTTGTTCCGAGCTCGCAGAGATGCTTGGTCGCCAAGCATCCCGCTACGTACGTAAGCACGGGGCTGTGCTAGAGTGGGTCGGCGGAGAACCGGGACACCACGGCAAGCCCGACCAGCAACCGGCCGAACTTCCGGAAAACGATATTTTAGGTGCGGCGTCTGTGGCAGTGTGGCTCCCCGGTGAAGAGGATAGGCTAGGTGCTAGTTAATCCAGGGAAAATCTTCGACCGAGCATCCCCGCGGTTGAAAATTTACCCCCCTCCGAGTCCGTGCTGGTTACTCGTGTTGGAAGGACTCGTGGTGGTGATCACTGGAACGATCGAGATGGGGAGAAGTGATGTTTGTGTCTTAGAGCTACAGGTACAAGAAAGAGAGAGAGAAAGAAAGAAATAAACCCGAACTTGGACCCGCTACCGCACCGAGTGTTCTAAGCACCCACCACCGGTCCTCCGAACGGCTAGTGGACTACTCACAGGAGCACACTCGTTCCCACAACTCGGCGTCCAAAATAAAATTACTCTTTATTGGATGTATCAAGGCCATTTTTCTTTCGTGAATGCTAATCAGCAAACAACTGTGGTAGAGTTAATTCTACCTCCTGCGAAGGTCGAATTGAAGGCCACTAGTAAAGTGGGGATTGCCTTCCAGTTTTTTCTCCTCTCTATGCAGTATTGCTTCGTTCGTCTCGATGCTATTATGATAGGTTGTGCTCAGAGGAGTCGGTCGTCACCTTCGGACGGTGATCGGTTTGCCGTTCTCACCACGGCTTCACTGCCCGTTAGGTACATACCAGACATACCAGACATACCAGACAGAAGCAAAAGCAAGTAGGTATGGAAAATAAACAGGATCCTCCAGCCTCGAGCCGTGCAAATATTACCAATACCCATGACCAATGTGCAAAATCTTCAACGAGTGACGACATGGCTTGATGATGTATCATGTGGCTTTTGAACGAGAATCGCTATCTAGGTAAATCGTCGTCAACACGAACAGGAGCCGCCGACGACGACGGACGCCCGTCGGTGAGCCTGAATACCGCACTGCGTAGGCCAAACGTTCCAGTACACGGCAGCTGCGGCTGCAGCGCGACTCCCGTCCTGCATCAACGGGCGCATTTCCGAGCTTGATGATGGGTGAACCCCCGGGGCGTAGGTACCGCAGTTATATACCTACACCGCACCGGAGTCATCATCCATCTCGTGTGCATTGCTGGCTAGATATCTCGGTGGGGGCACAGAGAAAATCACCTCGGCGAGATCGGATTCGGAAATTCGTAGGAAGGGACTCAATCTCTGTGCTGTGCTTTAATGTTCGGCGAGTAGTTAGCTCGGCATAGAAAAGGCCGGCCCGGACATATTGTCGATGTCCGTGACGGGAACAAAAGGCTGTTCTATCTGGGTTCGACCGGGGAAGACGGAAAATACCTAGCCTTCCTTTCAAGAGGCAGCTGCAGGAACGGGCGCAATTGCAGTACATTATGTACTCGAAAGATCTCAGCTCATAGGTGCTGAGATTAATACCTATAACGTACATTCACAATTGAAGGCGATCCAGTATTGGACCCTGTTGGAATGTGTGAACAAGTATTGGATTATTGTAGAGACTGAAAGCCTCGAGAGAAGACATAAAAGAGGGGTGGTATGTAGGCGGCTAGGTAGTGCTCCCCGCCGTCATGACCGCGTAAGCGACTAAGCAACGAGTGAGATATCTATTACAACAGATCCTCCCGGTTGATGTCGTCAACGTGAAACTCCCCACCCACTCCACCCGCTCAATTGTCCGCTCCGTTGTCCGCCCTGTTGCCCGCTCCGTTGTCCGCCCCGTTTCCCGCTCCCTTGTCCGCTCCGTTGCCCGCTCTCTTGCCAGCTCCGATGGCCGCTCCATCCAACATCAACCTCGCAGCCCCTCTAGTGTTCAACCACTTCCCAACCTGGCCTTCGGGAACCTTCGCGCTTACCACGTCGATCCCGTCCATCCCTGGATGTCCGAGGAGGTGGACATGAACTGAGTTTTTTCTCATCCTTATTCTCTTCGGTGTTATATTTGGTGGTGGTGTTGGAGACGGTGGTAGTGTTGGAGACGGTCAAACCGGTGGACGAGGTGAGTGTAGTGAAGGTGGTGGAAGTTTAGGTAAGGTGAGGTAAGGTGGTTTATGTCGACGAGGTGAGTGTAGTGAAGGTGGTGGAGGGCTAGGTAAGGTGGTTTATGTCAACGAGGTTTGGTGGATCAGGATAAATCATTCGGCCTCTTCGTAGCTGAGCCCTTTGTGCGTACAAGGCTGTAGGTATCTGCCAGAATCAGGTTGTATTGACCCAAACAAATTTATTTTCTTAATTCCAAGAACTATCGGCATGTCACCGACCGGCACGGAGATAAAGAGTCTAGGTATGTAGGTAAATCATAAAGAATTCAAAAAACTTTTCCCACCAAAGCAATCGAGACAGATCAGTGCCCTCGCGTACAGAAACTCAACGTTTGACAACTGCCAATCCTCCGCTCTGAAGCGCTTCGAAAGTCAGGCGTAGGTCCTCTAGATGCGTAGAGCCGAATATCGTGGCTAGGATTTGGCTTTCGCTGCCGCGGTTGGCTTCAGGCCAGTCTTCAGGAACTATGATCTTTTGCTTGCGTGCCTTCAGAACTTCAAGAATGTTTGATCTCGGCAATTTCTTCAACATTGCGTGCGCTCCTCGAGAATCGTCTAATAGGTCAGTATGTCAATTTGCGTGACTGGAGTGTACAATACTGCAACTTACTGAGAAGATCAAGAAGTCTGCTGTTGACAACCTTGCGCATTGCATCCCGGCCACCAGTCCCGGAATAGTCACTCTGAGAATCCTGAGCATCCTTCGTCTCCTTCAACAGACGGCTGGTGGAAACAAAGCTCTCGAACTGTTCAATAGTATGACCTGACTGAGCAAGGATACCGTAGTAGCTGCATGCGAGACCATTGCTGAGTAAAAGAGTTGGACCGTTGGCGTGAGATGGAACCACAAATGACAACATCGTGACTCCAATGCCGCAGAGTTCCTGGCTCTTGAACATGATATCGTCAGTATTGAGTATTATACCACACAATGTCGGACAGTACTCTATTCAGTGGGGGTTGCTGTGAGCCTTACCAAGTCACTCAGTCTACGTACACCCCTTTTCTGCAGCAGCGGTAGTGGGACCTCTGTGATCTTACCCCCCGCTTCATTGAGGAGACGCGCCTTCTCTTCATACTCCTCCTTGTGTTCCTGCCAGCCCTCCGCCGCGGCTTTCGCATAGTCTCCAGTGAACTGGGGACGTTCCTTCGGTTTCATCTTCGGAAGACGAACCGTGTCCGGCATATTATCCTTGATGGCCGACTGGTACAGATTCCAGGCAGAGACTTTCTTCACCTTGTACCGTCCAGCTTTGAAGTGTCCGGAAAGCATGATGCGGGATATCTTGAGGATCTGCGAGCTGGTAAACTTGTTGTTGTTCGTTGCCGCGTGCTCCTCCGCGGCCTCCAGAATCTTGTGGACGAAACTGTCGAAGAATTCCACATCCTCTGGTGCGAATTCAATCTCCTCACCAGTTTCAGGTTGCGCATTGTTTCCCTAATTAACTGTCAGTACATACACCGCTGTATATACTCAGCATTATTGCGCGCTAACTACTAACCTGTTCTGAACCCTTCCTGCCCTTACCGCCATTTGTGCTGCTACTGGTTTCGTGTCCAGCCTGCAATGCCGGAGGGGTATCTGACTCCGAGTCGCTGGAAGAGAGAGCGTCTTCTTCCGACTCGCTGCTAGACGCGGATTCCGCATACGAAAGCTCGTATTCTCGTAGCTCCCCGTCCGAGCCGTCATCTGCGTCTTCCGGCTCCGAAGCATCTCGCTCGTAGTCGAGACGTGACGGCTGGTGCTCTTGAGGCGTGGCTGCGTCTGGACCCTGCAAATTATTTTTGTCGGAAGCCATGTTTGCTGGTTGCGTTGGTCGTGGTGCTGTGTTGACAGTGGTGGGTGGGTTGATGGTGGGTGGGTTGACGGTGCTTGAGTTGGTGGTAGTGATGGCTTTGGTTGTTTGCCTAAGATGGGAAAACAGGAAAATCACGAATTTACAAACAGTACTCGTCAGTACCGACACCGGGGAGCTTCCGGTACCGGCGAAGGGCAGAGCCGCAAGGGAACGGTACCGTTTGCTGCACCGATATATGTACCACGACAGGGCCCAAGGTTTTGCACAAGCACTCGACGGGACGAAGCCATGTTTGCCGCCAGGGAAAGGAAAGGAAAGGACGGTACGAACGAGCCGTGCTCAAAAAAGGTCGAAAGGTTGAAATAGCGGCAGCCTGTGGGCACACACAGCGGCGAATATATGGCCGACAGTGACCACTGACCAGCGCGGCAGACGGATTACATACTGTAGGGTGGGGTGGATTACCGAATGATACCTACATACTCGACACGTGTGCATGGCGATGCCTTGAAGCTATGAGGTTCACTCAGCGAGGCGAATACTTTGGACTTTGGTAGTGGTATGTAGCCTACGTAGGAGGTCGGATTG